AAAAACTAATCCAACTAATAGTTCCTCCTATCATGTAAGCAGCAGGACGTGAAGACTGTATAAATAGTTCAGCTGTCAAGGTATTTGTTATGCCACCTGGGAAAACGAGTTTCAGAAACAGAACAGGTTATTATGCTAAATGTCCATTTGCGGTATTTCCAATGCCAGAAAGATTGAGTTGCTCAGTTTTGGGCTATGGGAGACTGAACTGTTCTGATGAGACGAGCTCACTTGCGTTCCTTAGCCAGAGCCTCAGCAGCCTTTCAGTAAAGACTTACTGCCTGGCCTGCACAGCAGAGCTGCTGGCTTTGCCCCCCAGCCCCAGACACGTTCCACCGCTTTAGAACATTCGTTACTGTGTAATACCTGGTCCCAGCCCAAAGCTCAAGATGAAGGCAAATATAGATGTCATGCTCACATAAGGCACCCATGAGTACAGTTCCTGGAAAAGAATGAGGTGGTTTAGTGCAGATTTTGATAATTCAGTTTTAAAGTTTGGCTTAACAGTTACATTTCCTTTTGCTATTTTATTGCAACCAAGACCAATAAGTCATTCATGGCTGTTTACAGCTCTGAAGCAGTACTGTTAAATAAATTAGAAATTAAATATTGTTCATTTAATAATTTTTACTAAATGGACTCTAGTACTTCTGCTGAGATTTATAATTAGTCCTCCAAAGCTAAAAATTTACACCAATATTGAATATACAATTACGTGTTGTTACTAGTTTAACATTTTGTCAGTGTTTACTTTGGTATTTTATACTGATCCCACGAGTTAGCTGTCATTAAGCACTTGCATAGTATGAACAGACTTCTAATCACATTATTTATGTATACATGCATTTCAGTAGTGCAGTAAACAAACACTAGGATTACTACATACATATGAAACTAGGTGCATTAGAAAGACCAAGCCTCAGCTTGAGATCCATTATTCAAAAGCAAACCGGTAAGTTTACAAGTTACAATAAAATAATTAAGCCTAGGCCTTCTGCCTAATGGCTGGCTCATTCAACTTTTTACCTGGCCTAGCAGCTTACTTTACTCCAACCACAGAAATTACTGTAGGTGCCTCTTCTGCAGCCTGCTTGCCAATCTGTGCAGCCCCTAACTCTGCTGTCCCTCCAAACATCACACCTGCAACGTGACTGCACAGGATCCTCCTGTTTATAGCCAGCTCCATCAGTCAACTCATGTGCGGATAGGGGAAGAATTGCAGCTCTTTAATCCTACCCTTGTCAGATAAAGATTTATCAGGAAACCAAATACTGACTAAATCGAGTTGCTCACTGTTGGAGCTACATCTACATCGTCTTGTTTGGATTACCCCAAGGCAACGCTAAATATTTAGTACATTATGGTCTGCAGATGTAGATTTCCTCTAAACCTTCATTTTGGGAGGTTTGTGGGGCTGCTTTATTTGAGCTGATACAGTATACAGAACAATTTACAATGCATCTCTCTATACTACATCAAAAAGCAAGGCAGGATGTTGCCTTCGCATGGTAAATTTAAGGCACTGTGAATATCTCTAGTGAGTTTCCAATAGTTTTTGTGAATTTACACTTAATCGATTGAAGTGTCCTATGAATTTCAGCATCTTTACAGTATTTTTTGTTTGATTGTTCACTTTACAATTAAGTGACTGAAGTGGACCGTGATGCTTAATATCATCACTATGTAGTATTTCATCCTAAAATTACTTCAAAAGCTAGAATAAATGCTGTTTCATCATCACTTAGTTTTGACAGCATTAAATGCAAGTGCGGCTTTAAGACAAATACATGCCTAAATCTTAGCTGTGAGCATTCTTTTATTTTAGGGAAATATGGCTGCAGAATTGACCAAATCTTTCAACTGCTGTCATTTTTTATGCTGCTGTTTAAACCCATACAGCTCTTATCTTCCAGCTTCTTTTGAGAGTCACAGATTTTCACTCACTATAGTCCTATCATGTAATATAAATGAGTCCTTCTTTACACCTGGTAAGTCAGAGAGAATGTTAAAACAATGCTCCAAAGGGTCATAAGGAGATAACCCCCAATGACGAGGTATCTTCTTCCCACGTAGTCTATCAGTAAGCCCTGTGGACAAGACATCATTTTTCTGTTACTATATTGATCTCATGTTTACCAATGTTCTTCAAGAAGAATCATTACTCTTTATGCTAGGAGGTAGAATAAATTGTTACTCACACAGGTGAGGGCTGTGAGGCATTCGCAAGCTCCAGTGCCGAGTGTCACATATGGCATTTTTTCTGCTGAGATCCCAGCTTGTTCAAAAATGTAAGTTGCATAGAAATAAATCTACAACAGACTGAATCCCGGTAGTTAAATTCTCAGCTGGAAACAAAGTCACGTTCATACTAAACGTACAGCTGAATATTTTATATTGTGAGTTATTCATTTGATGTAAACAGCAAGAAGAATCTGTTAAATTCATGTCTAGGTAAATATATTGCTAGCATAAAAGCAAATGTAATTATTCAACTTATTGAATATAATACCTCACATTCTTAAACCAGACACAATGGGATAAGCTGATCCACCTTTATTTAGTTTTTCAGAAGATGTAAACACAAGTATTAAGTCAT